TTTCTGGATTGCCAACTTCCTCAGTATCTGGTTTGGGACGTATGAGATAAAAATAAAACCCAAAAACGTACCACTGTGATTTCCTTGAGTACTGAGACCACCAGCTAGTCTGCCTTCTTTTCTCCACCTTTCAGAATCCTACGTTTGTTTTACATGTAACGTCTAGAGCTTTAATGCACTTAGTGAGAAGAAGAGGGCAAAGTAAACAACCTCCATGTTCCCTCCATCTTCCCGGAAGCAGAAGTTCTGCACTTATTACATTAAGTTACACTGGAGTTCTTTCAAAACAGCTGCTAGAGATTATTTTGTCCTTTTGGAGTGCTGTGTGGTATTCTAGGACCTGGACAGACTGAGATTTCTGTAGCAGCCTTCTCCTGTGGATGGAACAGTTAGGCGGTTTTCAAGGTTGTGCTATCTTAAACACAACTTGAGTGAACATCCTTTCACATACAACTTGGTAATTTTTTTTTCAAGTAAATCTGTAGAGGTAAGTTCCTAGCAGTAGTTTTGCTGGGTCAAATATGATGAAATTTGAAAATCTGATAAGCATTTTCAGATGGCCTTCCAAAGAGGCTGCACATATTCCTAGTATATTCCTAGTAGCATTGAATAAAGGTGTGTAAGTTCCCATAGCCTTCCTTCTGATTTTTATCAAACTTTAAGGTGTCAATCTGATTAACTTAAAAATGTTGTTTCATTTTTGTTTAATTTACCTTTCTATAAGCTTTAACAAAGTTGAATAACTTTACATATGTGTACCATCCATCTGAATATTGTTCAGGTGTGTGTGTATCTATTTGCCTATTCATATCCTTAGTCATTTTCATTCCAGGTACTGTTCTCACCTACTCTTGGTATTGAGGTTGTATTAGCTTCATCAAAGGAACAGGGGAGGGGAGTGCACCCTCTTTTTCTATTTTCTGGACAAGTGATTTTATTATGTGGTAGAACACACCAGTAAAACCATGTAGACCTAGAATTTGTTTTGTCAGAAGGTTTTACATGATTGATTTATTTCCTTAATGGTTGAAAGACTATTCATGCTTTCTGTTTCTTTTTAAAGTTAAATTTTTATTTTTATTTGTTCATTTCATCTAAATTTTTGAGTGTTTTAACATAAACTTGCTCATAATACATTCTGTTATTATGTTTTTAATGCTTGTATAAACTGTCGTGAAGGTCTCTTTTATATTCCTGATTTATCTATTTCTTCTTTTTCATCTTTTACTCTCACCAGAGATTTTCCATTTTATTAATCTCTTCAAAGAACCAATTTTTGATTTGGTGGTCATTTCTACTTCTTTCTACTTTGCTTTCTATTTCAAAACTTTCAAATTATTTTTACAGTTTCATGCCGTCTACTTTCTTTACCTTTATTTTGCTGCTTCCATGTCCTATTGTCCTTTTGAAAATTATATTATTATTTCATATTGACTTATAAAAGCTCTTTGTCAATGAAGGATATTAGCCATATACCTTCTCCTTTTGCATTAATCCTTGACTCTTAATTATGGTATTTTTTGGAACTATAATTTTACATTTTTATGAAAACACAGATGTATCCATCCTTTTCCTTACTGTCTTCTTAAAGTCCAATCAGCTGGGATTTCATCAGTGCTGTATTCAGCGGAGGGGCAGCTTTCTAGGAACCTTTTCGATTTTGAGTTGCCACTGTCCATGATGCTACAGAGAAGAGACCCACACCCAGGACTCTGTTTTCCTTTATTCAAATATTGGCCAGAGTGCCCTTTCCCAAATTATGATGCCACTCTCTTTAACAGCTTTTCCACGCTCAGGATGAAATCACATCCCCCTTGGCTCTTGGGCCCCTCCATGATCATCTTCCCCCATCAGCATCTCCTGCTGCTGCCACATCCCTGAATCTGCACAGCTCTGAAATGAGCCACTATCTCTGGCTGCTTGGCCACTTGGCAGGGATGCCAGGCTGTGTTTGCTGCACAGCTCTTCCCTGCTTGAGGCTACTGGTGTCCACCCGAAGAGCCCACAGCTCTGACCTGCTCATGTGCACAGCGCAGCTCTCCCTGTGCAGAAGAATGGTCCTTTGCTATATCCACCATGAATTCCTAATCAGAGGGATTTCAAATGCCTTCCTTCTGCTTAACAATTCCCAAGTATGCTGTACTGCCCCTCTCCCAATCTCTTACACTTCTGAGAACAGGTTGGAGTTTTAGGAATT